CTTCTTTCTGAGCCACCTGCAGCCCCTGTTTGGCGGGAGCAGGAGGTTACCTTCTGTCCAGCACACAGGACGGGCCAGTGGGTGGGACGGGGAATCAGCTCCTGGCTTCAGTCCCTGTCCCTGGCCACAGATGCAGGGTCCACACCAGCCTCACTCAGCTGCTGCTTGTACCCCATTCCCCTCCCCAGCAGCACACAGGCCAGGCAGGCCTCTCAGTCTCCCTCACCCACGCACAAAGGATGCCCCAGGCGCAGCCAAATAGCTCTGGCTCCAAACCTGACCTGCAGCAATTGTGATCCCATCCTAACAGGGGGCCTCCTGGGATCCCATGTTCTGCGACCCGCCCTCCAGAGCTGCACCCCCACTGGAAGGCCCTTTGCCTGACCTTATCGATGGATGCCTTGAGGAAGTTGTCCAGCAGCAGGCGCGCCTCGGCCAAGGAGCAGGAGCTGATCACCACGGAGGTGTCGGTGGAGTCCAGCTCCTCCTACGGTGCAGGAGAGACCCCGAGGGAGGGGAATTAGAACGGCGCTGAGGGCGGTGAAGGGCAGAAAGCAGAAGGCCAGGAGAGACACCAGCGCCATGGAACCAGGGGGCGTTCCTTGACTGGCTGACGCCGGCGCTCTGCGAGCAGGCGGCGGGGACGACGACTTGCATGCCAATATTGTGCATGAGCACTCGCACTGGATGTGTGCCTGGAACCAGGCCCCTGATTGGGCCATCTATGGGGACTGAACCACACACCTGCGGATCTAAAGAAGAGGAGCTTCTACCGCCTGGACGGCAGGAGCTGCTCGCTAGCCAGGTGACCAGAGCAGACCAAGGGCAGGTTTACACTGGGAACTTATACCAGCATAGCTATGTCTCTCCAGGATATGAAAATCCTGCCCCCCCGCCCCCCGCCCCCATCCCGGAGAGTGTAGCTCTGCTGACCAAACTAAACAGCCACCTCCTTGGGAGGTGGATTACCTACTCCGACGGGGAGCGTCTACACCTAATCTGCTACAGCTGCAAGGTTTTAAGCGTAGACATATACTAAAAACCTGTTTATGTCCTCCAGCTGCTAGGAGGGGAGCAGAGAGCTACACTGTGCTGAACCTGGGTCAGATCCCCCATGTCATTAACAGTGTGTCCACACAGCAAAGAAAAACCCACAGCAGCGAGCCTCTGGCCAAAGGATTCGGGCTTGCACTACGGGGCTAAAAGTAGCAGTGTAGACATTCCCGCTCATCGGCTCCAAGACCCTCCAGAGCCCAGGCTCCAGCCCTTGTGTGAATGTCTACACTCTTCCTTTTAGCCCCGTAGCCCTGCGAGCCAAGGCAATGGATCCAGGCTCTGAGACTTGTGCTGTGGGGTTTGCCTTGCAGTACAGACACCCGACAGGTGCCAGGGAGAAAGGCCTCATTATTAGGCTATTGTTTCTCTGTGGAAATATTTGATTAAACAAAAATTTCCTTTTTGGTCAAAATCCCACCCTCCCTTTACAAAAATTTGACATCAGAAAAGAGACTCAATGTTTGACAACAGCTTTCAGCACAAGTTCGCGGTTTCAGAAAAGGGAAACTCTTTCCCAAGACCCCCAATTTTTTTGCCTTAAACCATCAAAACTGATTTTGAAAAACCACAAAAATTCCAGTTTCTCGGGTGAAATTTCAAAAGAAAAAACTAAAAGGGTTTGAGATTTCCTACAAAAGCAAACAGCATCTTCAACCCTCTCTCATGGCTACACCTGGAGTTGGCTCTGAATACCGGGCTGCCCCCCCGTGCTTGGCTTCGGTCTAGGCTACAGGAACACCACTGTGGAACTGGGCTGGGTCGAGGCAGTGTCTCACAG